AAACTAATATATAACTATACAACTACTGCAGTAGCTATAAAAACTAATATATAACTATACAACTACTGCAGTAGCTATAAGAACTAATATATAACTATACAACTACTGCAGTAGCTATAAGAACTAATATATAACTATACAACTACTGCAGTAGCTATAAAAACTAATATATAACTATACAACTACTGCAGTAGGTATAAAAACCAATATATAACTATACAACTAATGCAGTAGCTATAAAAATATATTGTTAATTTTTCTAGGTATAAAAGTTTTGTCAGTTCTGAAAACATTACTTCCTTACCTAGTCGAAGGGTTAAAGAAATAGGTAAGATAAACCATAGGTAGTAGAGGAGAGGGTTTGGAAGGCCGGGGGCGTGGCTAAATTATGTTATTGTTCTCTGTCACGTGAGAATATGAGTGTCGAGTGCATCAAAATCGTATTGATAATAGAAAGTATAACAGAGAAAGCTGTAGTACTTGAAAAACGTCTTTTATAAAACTAATTTTTAAATGCCAGAAGCAAAATGCTTCATATATTGTTGCGGAACAAGTAGGAAACACGTTGGTATTAGTATTTTTCGAATTCCAACAAAAGACGAAAACTCGCGAAGCGTGGGTGAGGCTCGTGACAGAGGATATAAAGATAGACGCAAGTTTACGAAATCAAATCCCTCAACAAACAGTTTACGTTTGTGAAAGACACTTTGATAAACACCTAATCGAAAATGTAAGTTCTTTTCTTAGGCTATGTGCACACGGGCATCGTTTTCCAGCGTTTTCAGAAACGTTTTTCTCCCTTTAATCGTTTTGACGCCCTGTTCACACGGTCGAAAGGAAAATATCTCCAATATATTAAATAAACTACAGTTTTTGTCGTAAATTGATAGTGTTTGCATCCGTTTTAGCGTGAAAACACAAATGAAAACGCTCGAAAACGTTACCGTGTGCACATAGTCTTAAATATTTAATAGGTTTTCCGGTAGAGGTTTTGATATTTCGCTATGAACGCTTGAAAGTTAATACAGCTTATCAAAAGCTTGTATATATTTCATGTATCAAATTTGTATGGCATATGGAACAGGAAATATATAAATACTGATTTGCATAAAGAAGATACCCTCTACATCGACAACTGCAGCCAGGCGTGAACTTGTGCCACACGAACTTAAAACAAAACAGCATTATTTAACACTTGAAATATTAAAAAAGAAAGTTGAGAAAAAAGTTAACTAGTTGGACTAAATGTGTCAATGAGAATAATGTTCAATTTGTGCTCGGACACACAAGTGTTCAGTAAGTCATTGTCCTGTTTTGAGTGTTTTTTCATCACTACAACAGTTTCAGTTGTGTGGTGGAATTCCTGTTGAAGAGTCTTTCAACTTGATTGCTCTTGACCCATCAAATGATTGTTGTTTTGGAAATATTGTTCGTCATGCTGTTCCACTCAACCTAGAAAGTTATGATGAGAATGGTCTTTTATTCCAGGCAAGAGTCTTTCTGCGATCCTATGATTGTGAAGTTCTTTGTGAAGGTGATAAGTGTGCCGATTGCGAGATGAAGGGAAAATTTATGCAAAAATCTTTCGAGAAGAAAGCCGCCAAAGAAGCTCATCAAGTCCCAATCCACCTGCAACGGGTTGTTTGTAAACAATTAGAAGAACGAATAAGTGAGCTGGAAATTGAAATATAAAACAACAGTATCACCGTTAATGAATCTTTTGAAAACGATCTTTTGGAGATACTTGCAAACAACACCACGATTATCTCCCCATTTGAAAGTTTTCTGGGAGCAACAGAGAAAGCTTCTTGCAACCCCTAAGTTTGGCAGAAGATATCACCCTCATGTGGCAAGATTTTACGTATCATTACATGATAAATCGCCTGCTGCATATAAGGAGCTACGAGATTCTGGTGTTTTGGTTTTGCCAAGTCAGAGAACGTTACGAGACTATCGTAACTTTTCAAACCGAGACCAGGATTTAATTCAGAGAACATTGAAAGATTGAAAGAGCTGTCTAGTGGGTACACTGGCATTCAACGATATGTGATGCTCGGTTTTGATGAAATGAAAATTCAATTCAAACTGGTATTTGACAAATGGTCCAACAAGCTGGTTGGATTTGTTGACCTTGGAGAAGAGCATGCGAATGAAGCACTCAGTCTGACGTTTGCCAGTGAACTTGGCACATATGCACTGGTATTTTTCGTGAGAGGTGTTGCCACAGATTTGAAGTATACACTTGCGTACTCCCTTACAAAGGATGTGACATCTTACCAGCTTAAGTCACTTTTTTGGGAATTCGCATGTACTCTTTGCTGCTGTTAGTGCCGGAGCATCCCCTATAACCATCGATGCTATGAGCTGTATGCTAATATCGCTGTCAACTCGAGTGAGGGAATTGTTCATGCCATACCTGTAGAAAGTAGGAAATTATGGAGTGACCCTACCTCCAAAGTCTAAAAGTCTAACTCCAAACCAAAATATACACTTGAGTAACTTGTGTAATTCAAAACTGAGTTAATTAGAATATGAAGTGTGGAGTTGCTGGCTCTAAAAATCATTTGGAGCTAGCCGAGGTATAACTCCAAAAATCATTTAGAAGCTAGGTATCTAAACGTGGAGCTACTGGCTAACTTGAAAAATTATTTGGAGCTAAGTATAACTTCAAAAATTTTGAAAAAGCTAGTTATCCAAACCGAGCTAGATATCCGAGTTACTTGCTAACTCCAAGAATCATTAATTTGGAGCATATGGTATAACTGAAAAAAATCATGAAAAATCTACAATCCTGGACACAACATCTGCAACACTTTCAATTATTTGACAAAATTTCGTAATATTATCGCAAATTTAGAAAACCTTTCCCTTACCACCACAAATCAATATTGATTGTGTTCGTAGAATACGGTTAAAACGTGCAACATTGTTTTGGGCGGTGGAGGTGGGCAAACGAGTAAATTATTACGGTCTAATTGGTACTAAAGCCACAAAGGAATGTTTTAACTAGCTAACTGCCTAACACTAAAAAGTATGCGCAGTGAGGCGAGCAAGCCGCTAGGTATATGTAAGCCTGTGTTGCTAAGTCCGAAAATAATTTGGAGCTATAGTTACAGTATCTAAGCCTGTAGTATGACAATATGTATATGTATGTAGTTGTATTTCGGTTAATTTTTTATTGTATTTACTAAATACTAATTACTTTTAAATTTTAAATTAAAACAGTCATTATTTTGTATTGATGTAAATTTTTCATTAGTTGGACACTATAAAATATGAATAGTCTACCGTACACTCTGAAGCGAAAAGTTACTATAATTATAAACATTACTGTGGAATTAAATTCATTTTTGGCATTTTGCCTCGTTTTTTCTCATTGAATCTTAAATTATGTTCATTTCAATAGATGAATAGAATTTTGGCCTAATTTTCGGAATTTTCAAGGGAAGCCCCTAGCAGCACACTTGACATTCTCAGGCCATAAGAACGCTGGCTCGGGGTTTGATATTGGCGCAACCCATTCTCGATCCAGTCATGCTCTGTTGACCGCGCATAAGATGGGTTTTCTGGGTACAAGAATGTGGCGTAGCCTAGCTCCATTTGAAGATCCCAGTGGAAAGATCTACGTTTTTTTCTGATGCACCACATTTGGTAAAGACAGCACGAAACTGTCTTTTTAATTCTGGAAGTGGAATGCGTACTCGGCATTTATGGAACAATGGCAAATGCTTGTTTGTAATCTTCAGAACTCTGTAACACACCTTCCAAAATGCAGGGAATGGCATTTCTGATTGTTTGGATTTCGGGGTGGGGCATGCACCCAGACCCATCTAGGAGTCTCGTACATTCGGTGCTCAATTAGTCAATTGTCATACAATACCTTTGGCCGGCTACTATCACTTTCCGCCACCTACTTCTAAATTTAATGTCAGCGCTGCTTCAACGGAGTATAAATTTGCAATAAATTGTACATTGTTATAAAGTGAACAATTAGACCATCGGTAATAAAATAAATGGATAGGAAACTAGCTGACGTGACCTAATGTTTTCAATGGGCTGATGGCGTGATTGGATGTTGAAACCTAGTTGCAAACTAAATTCTCAAAAACGGCATGTTCACCAATAATACAGCTAAACATTTTAGTCAAAGAGCAAATAAATATAACTACGTCATTCTACGTGAAATTTCTAAATATTCCCAGTCGATTTTAGCAAATATTTCAAGCACTAAACAGTGAAAAATGCATCGCAAATTTCGTTAAAATTGGCGACGCCAATTTCGTAGCTACAAATGTAAAAAAATACAAAACAAAGACGAAAAACATTTGCCTTGAATACTTTGTCGTGGCTTAGGCATATTTTTAAAACAATTAGATCAGTTTATGCTTCAATATTACTCTTTGAAAGTCGATTTTAGCAAATATTTCAAGCACTAAACAGTGAAAAATGCATCGCAAATTTCGTTAAAATTGGCGACGCCAATTTCGTAGCTACAAATGTAAAAAAATACAAAACAAAGACGAAAAACATTTGCCTTGAATACTTTGTCGTGGCTTAGGCATATTTTTAAAACAATTAGATCAGTTTATGCTTCAATATTACTCTTTGAAAGCGGAAAAATAGCGAAACAACAAAAATGCCGAGAACTTTGCAATACGCGTGACGTCACAGATTGCAACTAGGTTTAGGCTGTGACGTCAGGAAGTTTCCTATCCAGTTATTTTACAATCCATGATGAGACTATAAAACAATATATTACCTTAGTTGAACTATTTAATACAGGAATATTTTTATTGATCATACAGTAAATCACTATTACATAAAATGTTGTTTCACTTCAAATATAAAAGACATTGGTAGCTCAACTTTGAGTCATTAGGGAGCTTTAGATTTGACTACGAGTACGACTACGAGTACGAGATTTGATCGCGTGCGAGAAAGTTACCGTAGTCGTTCTCGTTTCCATTCAAATGTTGCTTTTATAACAGTAGATCAACAACGAGAGAAAAAGTTTCATAAACTAAATCTCCTGCTGACTAAAATCCCCTACAAAACGTGCAAATAAGTCATAACAATAAAAACAGGCCAGATATTTAGTACTAATATATTATTTGCGCCGGATAAACGCTATATAAATGCTACAAATTATTTTTGGAAAACAAAAAAAAGCCAACTTTCTTTGTTTTTTTTTAAAAGTCGTCGTGAGGACTACGAGGTTTCTCCACAATTTCGTACTCAGATGGGCGACGGCTACGACTTTTTCGCGTCAGTACGAGATGGCGTAAGCATACAGCATGCGTTTAGCTTGACGAATCTCGTACTCGTAGTCGTACTCGTAGTCAAATCTAAAGCTCCCTATTGTGGTCCGAGTACACTGAAGTAGTGAATAAGTATACAACACTTTCACCTACGGCGAGGGACAAACTGAACTTTTAATGAGAAAATTCGAAGCGTATTGCAATCCAAAGCGAAATGTAACTTACGAACGACATATTCAATACAAGCGTGCAAGGTTCAAATGAAACCATTGAAGCTTAGACTTCAAGCAAAGAACTGTGAATTTGGCATTCTTTGCAACGAACTGATTCGAGACAGAATTGTATTAGGAATCAGAGACGATTCAGTAAGAAGCCGATTGCTTCGTGAGTCTGAATTAGATTTGCAAAAAGCGGTAGATATCTATCCAGCGGTCGAACAGACGCGAAGCCATATGGATGCTTTAAAGAATCCTGCGATAACAATTGATGTCAAAAGAGACCCGTCGAAGTCAAAGCGGACGGAGACACCAAGAACCAAGCGAGGAAAGTTTAATCAGCAGACTTCGGTTATACAGTGCAAGTACTGCGGGACATCGCACGAATAGAACAAACTAGAGGGGCAAAGAGGAAATTAGAAGGGCAAAGATGCATTATTATGTAATGAACATTGGAAGGCAGAATACTAACGGGGATGCTCGAATGTGGTGGAAGAAGGTATGGAAACTGACTGGAAAGAAGAAATCTTCTATCAGTCTCAGTGAGCAGGGATCAGACTCCAAACTCGAAGAATAAAGATGCTGCGAATATGATTAATACGTGTTTCGCAGATCTAACAAATGATTTCCCAGAAATTCAATCCAGATGGTCATCTTACGGTCACTCAGATGTCTTGCCGACTGTTACACCTGAAAGCGTTGCGAAAAAGCTTTTGTCCATTCAGTCTAACAAAGCTCCCGGTCCAAACGACCCCTACCTCAAGATAATTAAAATGTTTGCGCACTTTTTTGCTATCCCATTAGCAAACATTTTTAATGCATCATTTGTGCAGAAGGTGTTTCCAAAACTGTGGAAAGAGTTCTACCTAGCACCTATACCAAAAGTGGAACCGTGTACGAATCTGGATGAAATAAGACCGATAGCTCTTACTAGCACAATTTCAAAAATACAGGAGTCTTACGTGGTTGATTGGATGTATGACGATATTGAGTCTACAATTTGTAAGGAACAGTATGGGGGTGTCCCACGCTCGTCAGCAGTCCTTGTGCTCGTTCACCTTCTACACAAATGGAATAAAGCATTGGACTTATCACAACGGGTAATAAGAATTGTGTTTTTGGACTTTCGCAAGGCCTTTGATCTCATTGATTACAACGTGCTATTAGACAACTGTTGTAAAATCGGAGTCAGATCTGGGCTTATTAGCTGGTTGGGGTCATATCTGAGTAAGAGGATGCAAGTGACAAGGTTTGGTAACGAACTTTCTACAAGCTGTATGATTAATGGAGGAGTTCTCCAAGGTAGTCGTATTGGTCCAATTGCGTTCCTCGTTCATATTAATGGACTGAAGGCAGTGATCAAAGACACCGAGAGCAGTTTGATTAATTCAAGCAAGGATGTCAATGATGATGATTGCGATGATGACCTAACTCTTTTCATGGATGACACAACACTGTCGGAGGTTATTAACGTCCGTGATCATGTCTCAGGTACGCAAGTTGGGAGTACGCCCAATAATATTATGAAAGTTATGGATTTTGCTACGTCTCAAAAAATGGAGCTGAACCTTAAAAAATGTAAGGAAATGCAGTTAGATTTTCGTCAGAATAGGACAGTTATTCCACCACTAACATTCAATGATACAACGTTGGAAAGGGTTTCCGCGTTCAAACTATTGGGCTTATGGATTGACGATAATTTAAAGTCGCAAACTAAAACTGATTATATTTTAGGGAAAGCAGTTAAGCGACTCTTTTTATTAAATATTTCAATATGAAAGAAATATGGTGCTGGCAAGATTGATATGAAACGGGTTTAAATTTCTGCCATCAGGCCGATACTTGAATATGCAGCGCAAGTCTGGCATGGGGACCTTACTAAAGCACAGAGCAGCAGTATTGAGAAAGTACAAAGAAGGGCATTGAGAATAATCTATTCTGAAAAAGATTACGAAAAGTTATTGTTGACAGCTGGAATGCATACGCTTGAACAACGTCGCAATACTATGTGTATTCATCTTATTAGTAAAATGTCTGACCCACAACACAGACTGCACCATCTTCTTCCTAACAAACTTTGCCAGGCACGGCAAAGGGATACACGTCAGAATGGCCAATTGTTTTACAATTACCACCACAGAACAGAACGGGAACAGTCCAATTGTTTCGTCAATTGAACTCTATAATAACTCTATTTTATAATATAATATAACTATATATTTGTATTGAAACGTTTTTAATACGTATTAGATAGTTTTCGGAACAGTCCAATTGTTTCGTCAGTAGAACTATTGATAATAACTCTCATTTATAATATAACTATATTTCTATTGAAACTTTTTGTAATACCTAATTTAGATAGTACAGTAATTAATGTATTTCTTCTATATGTATGTAATGTAATGCGCATTCTAATTTAGCTACTTATTGTAGCTATTCATTGTGTAACTTTCGTATTAAACATATTAAACATATTATATTAAACTGAAATGTCCAGCAGTTGTAAAAACATGTAAGAAATGTGGTAAGCAAAACTATTACTTTGCTAAGGTATGTAAAAGTGTTAAATACTCATCCAGTAGACACTCATGACTTGTATGTGGGTGCAGTGGAGCAAGATAGATATGTAGACACTGTGAGCAATACTGAGTATTTTCTCTTTATTTTTTTTATTTTGAGGGCCACTAGGTTATCAGTGTCTTCGTGGATACTGTCATGTGTTTACCCTCTTTAAATAAAGTCAAACAAATAAAACAGGAAGAGTGGAATATCACGGTAGATATTTTTTAATAAGCCATTGAAATTTAAACTAGACACTGGCGCAAAGTGTAACGTTTTCTCCAAATTCCAAATTGAGAGCTTAGGCTTAACAATTCAGTTGAAACCAACGAACACTAGACTAATTTCGTACAGTGGAAATGCGATTGACGTTGAAGGAACAATAATATTACGTGTGTTTTATAGAGGCATGCAGTATTTACTCCAGTTCTATGGTATAAATAATCCTGTCCAGGCTATATTAGGCTTGAAAGCGTGTGAAGAGTTGAAAGTTATACGAAGAGTAGAAGAAATTAGTAAAACCGCCAATGCAGAATTCGAAGCTTATGAATATGTTTTTTCAACTGGTGGTATCAGATGTCTGCCAGTAACTCATCATATAGAGATAGCTAAAACGTAGAACATATCGTGCATGCGCCAGGTCAAGTTCCAGCAGCACTCCGTCCAAAAATCCAAGCAGAATTGGATCGTATGGAGAAGTTGGGGGTAATAATAATAATAATAATAATAATAATAATAATAATAATAATAATAATAATAATAATAATAATAATATTTATTCAGGAAGCTCCACTCACCGGAGTGTTTTTCAGGGAGGTCCTGTAATATATATCTATATTTATACATGGTATTCGTAAACTATACGTCCATGCTTATTTAAAAACTATAAAATATTTACAAGTGAATTATATATAATTATACTTCATAGTTAGAAAAAACTAAACTTAATTAGATAAATTGTTCAACTTAATTAGATAAATTGTTTTAGTTTGGATTTAAAGAGATTAAGATTAGTAGATTGTTTCAGTTCAATAGGTAAAGAGTTCCATTCCGATACCGAGTGATAAGTTAATTGCTGTTTTCCCCAATTCGTACGTGGGCGTGGAAGGTAGTAATTGTTATTCTGGCGTGTTTTATGGCTATGTATACGGGAGATTATGGTAAGGTTAAAATCAAAGTCGACTAGATGGTTAAGACATTTAAAGACGGAGATACAACGGTGGTATTTTCGACGTAGGTAAAGGGGTTTCCACTCTAGAGTTTCAAGGGCTTCGGTAGCGGAGGAATGGCGAGGAAGATCAAGGATAAGTCTCGCAGCGTTATGTTGCAGAACTTGAAGGTGGTTCATTAGAGTGGAGTTGTTTTTATCTCCCCACACGATATCACTGTAGTCCAATAGAGGGAGGACTAGGCTGTTGTAGAGGGTGAGTCTGGCTTGAATAGGGAGTAAGAATTTTATGCGGCGAATGAGACCAAGGCGTTGATTAAACTTCTTGCTGATGTTGTCGATATGTTCTGACCAGGTTAAGTTTTGATGAATTGTAACTCCTAAGTATTTGAAAGAGTCAATTTTATCAAGTGTGGAATCGTTAACCGTGATGGAAACATTGTCAAATTTTGCAACTTTGCGAGAACTTCCGTAAATTACAAATTTACACTTGGAGACATAAGATTGTCGTTAAACCATCTGCATATGTGTTTTAGATCGGAATTTAATTTCATTTCAAGATCGCAAGCATTTGAAGAAAAATATATCACAGTGTCGTCAGCGTATAAGGAAATTTCACAATGGTTGATACAATAAGGCAAATCATTAACAAAAATAAGAAATAGTAGTGGACCCAAAACACTACCTTGAGGAACTCCGACAGGAACGTGTTTGAAGGAGGAAACAGTGTTAGCCAGGGCGGTAAGTTGTTTTCTATTGCTTAGGTATGACTTGAACCAGTTGACAGAATCATTGGAGAGACCAGATGAGGCAAGCTTTTCAAATAAAAGAGAATGGTCGACAGTATCAAAGGCTTTAGCCAGGTCAAGAAAAACAGCTCCGGTTACTAAACCTTTGTCCATGTTAGCCAAAATGGTGTCCGTGAAATGTGCGAGCGCAATCTCAGTGGAAAGTTTAGGTCTGAAACCAAACTGTCGTGGTGTTAGTACTTTATTGTCAATAAGGTAGCGGTAAACTTGAGAATTGAACTGCTTTCTCGAGAACTTTACTGATTGTTGGGAGTATCGTGATTGGTCTGTAATTGCTAGCATTGGATTGGTCTCCAGATTTAAAAAGCGCTGTTACTTTTCCAGACTTCCAGGTTGATGGAAATGTTGAGGAAGTGAGTGAACGATTGAAAAGTTTGGTTAGGATGGGAGTTACAACACTGGAAGAATCTTTAAGTAACCTAGCGCTGATTTTGTCGAGTCCTACAGCTTTGTTGGTTTTAAGATTGTTCAGAACACCATACACATAACTTTCTTCAATTGGCTGGAAAACAAATTCATTTTCCCTAAACTGACTAGGTTGCTTGATAGAAATCCGATTTGGATACAAATTTCTTATCTTAGATGCCAATTTGGATCCTATGCTTGAGAAATGGTCGTTTAATGACTCAGCTATAGACTTTGGGTCGGTATGAGAAACACCATTAGCTTCAATACAAGATGGCGAGCAGTGAGATTTTCGGGACGAGATGTCATTTAACGTTTTCCATAAAGCACTAGTGTTTCCTTTATTCGTATTGAACAGGTTCGAGTAGTATTCAGCTTTGCATTTCTTAACATTTATATTGACGTAAGATTTAATCTTCTTGTACATCATCCAATGAAAGGGCGAATTTGACTTAACGGCTTTGCGATGGTGGTAGTCGCGATCTTGCATTGCGTTGCTTAAATCAGTAGTAAGCCATGGGGTTTGGATTCCTTTTGTTCTCAATTTCTTAATTGGAGCATTAAGATTGGCAACATTTGTGAACAGTTCATTCCATTTACTTACAGCGACATTAATGTCTTGTTCTTCGTCAATAAGGTCGAAATTAACATGCACAAGATCGGCGAGGAAAGATGGCTTTGAATAAGTCTTGTAGGATCTGTATTCTATGACTCTTCCTGGTGCTCTACGTACACCCGCTTTAACAACACAGTAAATAAGAGAATGGTCACTTAAGTTTACGTGTAGGACTCCGGAGGAAACTATTCGATGATTATTGTTAGCGAATAGGAGATCAATCAATGTACTTGAGTTCTCAGTTATTCTCGTTGGTTTATCAATAAGTTGTTCAAGATTGTACATGCTGGTAAAGCTTAGAAGTTTTCGCTTAAGAGCTCGGGAAGTATCATTTTTTGTAGCTAAAAAGTTCACATTAAAGTCACCAAGTAGTATTACTTCAGCTTCTAACGAAATAGAGGACAATGCAGTATCAAGTTCTTCAGTAAGTGACTCTAACAATTGATCAGGGGCTTTATAGATTGATTGGTAATATCACCCGTCACCACACCAACAGAATGGGTTTCATCGCTTGTTACAGACAAGACAAGATTCGTTTGTGCATTCACCCCAAAGATTTAAACGAGGCGGTGAAGAGGGAATATTATCCGATGAAAACTGTGGAAGATGTTCTTACAAGACTAATGATATCTTCGAAGAATGATATCTGCGAAGAATGATATCTGCGAAGAATGATATCTTCGAAGATATGATATCTGATTAATGATACATGTATCTTCGAAGATATTTTCCACCCTTGATGCCACAAGTGGATTTTGGCAAATCCCTCTCGACGAAGAGTGCTCATTCCTGACCTGTTTCAATAACCTATTTTGGACGATATAGGTTTCAACGCCTTACCTTTTGGTATCAAATCCGCACCTGAAATTTATCAACGAGTTATGGAGGAATTGTTTGATGATATAGAAGGATTTGAGGTAATTGCTGATGATATAATGGTCTGGGGAAGAGACGAATAAGAGCATGATCAACGTTTGAAGAATGTCCTCGATCGAGCGTGTGATGTTCAGCTGAAATTAAATAAGGCGAAATGCAAGATACGTGTTAGAGAGGTGTCTTATATTGGACATACTTTTACGTCAGAAGGAATCAAGCCAGACAAAGAAAAAATCCAAGCCATTTTACTGATGCCTGAGCCATGTACCAAACAAGAGCTGCAGCGGCAATGGAATACTGAGCACCAAAGAGTTTACGAAATGTTGAAGAAAGACTGCAGCAAAAAAATGAAAAATTCCACCAGTTTATTTATGGAAAGAACGTAAAAGTTGAGACAGATCACAAGCCTTTGGTCAGTATTTTCAAGAAGTCGCTGGATGACAGTCCCATGAGATTGCAAAGAATGCTTCGGTTGCAACAGTATGATTTGCAAGTCCTCTATAAGAAAGGCACTGGATTATACGCGGCTGATACCTTAGGCAGAGCATATCAAGAAATTGGTGCAGACGACTCTCTTGAAGAGAGTCTAGAAATTCACATGGTATTGCCTATTTCTGCCCCGAAGTTGAAAGAATTACAAGAGGAGACGCGAAAAGATTCTGGCACGGAAAAATTACGACATGCTGTCCTTAATGGCTTGCCAGAACGCAAGTCGCATTTGTCTCAATCGATTCAGAGCTATTGGGACTACAGAGAAGATCTCACGATCCATGATGAACTTATCTTCAAACGCAATAAAGTAGTTATTCCAGCAGCATTACGGAACGAAATGCTGAAAGCCGTGCACCAACCTCATCTGGAGTAGAAGCGAGTAAACGACGAGCACGAGAGGTTCTATTTTGGCCGGAGATGGACAAAGAAATCGAAAAACGTGTTAAATCGTGTAGCATCTGCAACCAGAACAAGCCCCAGCAACCATCAGAACCGTTAAAACCTCATCCAACTCCATCTAGACCGTGGCAACGCATTGGAGTATAGATACTCTTTATCCCGTTTCACGGGAAAAACTATTTGAGGTTAATCTTAAGTTTAAGATATAATAAAGTATTTACGTTAATTTAAAGATGTAAGACGAGTATCTCTAATAAAGAAAGGGAGATGTAGTAGGACTTTGGACAATTAGTCATGCATCATTAGTATTCATATCGATTTAGTATTCATATAAGTACGTTTTATAGTTCAATGCAATGTTGTCTTGTACAGTAGCTTGCTTTGACTTTAACTGAGAACATTACACTATTCATATCTGAAGTTTGCTGTCTACCTTTAATTGTTTTCGTAAAGCCTACTTCTTTTGTTTTTTCTTGCAATTTGTACTTATTTACAATATCCCGTGCAAATGAAAAACTTCGGACAGTGGCATACAGTTTAACAATGTTCTCAAAATACAAGGACTGGCATTCTTTTGATACTGCAATACCAGATTGCTCAATAATGTTATTCCACAAACGTTTTACCGATGGAGAAGCTTGGACGTCCTCAACAACTTTATCAAAAGGCAAAGAAGTAGGTTTGTCAATTCTCGTGTGCTTTCTAAAGTACGATTCAGCGATTCTAGCGATATCAATAAGCCATGAATTTGGTGCCCACAGTGCCCCTCTGGAGATTGAAGAAATGTACTGATTTTCTTCAGTTGGTACTTTCATGAATAACAATAATGCGTGGATTTCTTGGTTTCTTAACGAGTTTGCATTTTTTGAATGTTTGCTTTTTCTACAAAGTGCTTGCATTACACACCCAGCAACATAAGCAAGTGATCCAAGCTCTCCTAGTTATTGTAGTTAAGCTCTTCTAGTTCTATAATGTATACGACGCAATTATTATTAACATTATTAAAACCCTCCGCAAATAATTGAATAACAGGGTAATACATCAATTAAGATTACGATCAAATAGCTTAATTAAAATGTCTATGAAGGTAAAAATTTAAATTCTATACTATTATATTTACATATTTACATTCTCATGATCACAGTCACCGACATTGCTTGAATGACAGTTGTAAAAATGGACTTAGTAGCGGAAAAGGATGAAGTTTTCACATCGTCTTGTTTTAGTCACTTTACGTAATGCTCTTGAATTTCCTGATCTCAGGCTGTAACTGTAGGGGTCACATATAGTATATGATTTATTTTTTTTCTGTGTTGGTGTTGTGTACTCAGGTGAATATGATATTTGTGATGTTACTCTGAGTGTATATCCACACCAGGCGAGCTTGAAAAATATGCCCGGCCACGGTGGGATTCGAACCTACGGCCTTTGGAATACTAGCCCAATGCTCTTCCAACTGAGCTACGCGGTCAGGACGGTTCGAGTAAGTGATATTTCGGAACAGAATCTAGTTCCTTCGATACCAATGTATTCTAGTAATATGATTTTTTTCTGTGTTGGTGTTGTGTACTCAGGTGAATATGATATTTGTGATGTTACTCTGAGTGTATATCCACACCAGGCGAGCTTGAAAAATATGCCCGGCCACGGTGGGATTCGAACCTACGGCCTTTGGAATACTAGCCCAATGCTCTTCCAACTGAGCTACGCGGTCTTGTATTGTATGGTATTGTAAAGAGTATAGAAACGTTATATATCTAAGAGACTGACGTGAGCAAATAAGCTTGCGTGGACAGAAGTTGAACGATAGTTTTGAATCTTAACGCTACAGGAATGTTGTAAGACTTTTAATATTAATATATCTTCAGAAATAAATTATTTCATTGGTGGCAGCGGCAAACAAATAAAGAATGTCTAGCGCTGAATTACTTCAAGAAATTGAGAGACTTACCAAGCGTGTTGAGGAACTGGAGAAGACAGAAAATGATGCGACGCCATCGTCGAGTTTAAATTTGCCCGTGATTCAAGTAAATAATCAGAAAGCAAAGCCAGATAACTACTCGGACGGCCCGTGGAACGAGTGGATTAGTCACTTCAAGCTGTGTGCTCAGATAAACAACTGGGACGACACACAGTGTTGCCAACAGCTAGCTGTTTCTCTTCGCGGTAGAGCTCAGCGAATCTACTTGACACTTCAAGATAACGAGAAGACGTGTTTTGACAACTTAGTGAACGCACTACAGTCTAGAATTCAGCCAGATCAACAAAGGAAAATCCACAAGCTGACCTTCGACGCGAGGAAACGAAAACACGGGGAGAACATTGTAGATTTAGCAACTGATGTTCGACAACTCGCTGCATTGACGTACCAAAACAAGGATAAATCGCTTGTCAAAGAGGAACTCGTCGAACAATTTGTCCGTGCCCTCGACAGTAAGGAACTACGTATCGGAGTGAGTCAAAGTGACCCGAAATCTCTTGATGAAGCTGTAAAACTAGCGTTACGTCTGGAAAGTATTCATTTGGCTGAAATGAAAAACAACAACACCGCGAAAATCAACGTGGCGGGAGATGAGCGAGATACCGCTGGCTTCAACATGACGCCGGGCGCGAGAGATAAACGAGATACCGCAGGCCTGAACATGGCGGGCGCGAGAGATGAAGATCAATCAACACCACCATGGGCGAAAAAGTACTTTGATCAACAAGCGGAACTGATGGATAAAATGAGTAAATTTCTTGTGAACAAACCAAATACGGCCTCATACCCAAGACGTCAAAGGGAAAATAGCCAGTGCTACTGTTGTGGAAAATATGGCCACTTCGCACGAGAATGTGAATCGCAGAACCAGGGAAACGCCTACAGGGCGGGCGCTCTATAG